TTATAGACTTTTGTTTTAAGAAGAGGCAGAGGCAGGAAGAGACGTGGACAGCAGTGGACAGCAGTCCACGCCGGGGCTTTATAGACTTTTGTTTTAAGAAGAGGCAGAGGCAGGAAGAGACGTGGACAGCAGTGGACAGCAGTCCACGTCGGGGCTGAGAGCCCTGCTGCTTGCTGTAGTCTCTGACACGACCGCCTGCCGGGGTCATGACCTCTCTACCGCATCCAACTTCACACTCAGGAACTGGCCGCGGACACCGTACGGCCTTTGGTCCCCTGCCTACCTGATGCAGAACTATAGGGAGCCTCTGTTTGCCTGATGCCAAACTCGGCCTCCTAATCTTCCAGTTACAATACAAGAACTAACAGTCGGTGGCACCCAAACGGCAAAACGCTACCTAGACATTCCACTCCTGCTTTCCAATAGAGGCGTTCATGACATTAAATCCACTTCGTTATAACCCCTGAGGTCAAAGGAATGCTTTTATCATCTAATCAACAAATCCAAACAAAAGAACTGATCTTAAATAATCACCACGCCCCGAGTTACTTCTATTTGGCTTTGGAGTGCTTTCCTCTTTTAACACAGCAGATGTTATCTTTAAGCTGAGTAAAATGGGATATTAATATCTAGTGGCAGATATTAATGTCCTAGGCAGTGGCATGATGGATTCTGTGTGTGCATTTGCTCATGGGGGAGTTGCTGTGTCATAGGTGTTTGTTTGTGAGTGTGCCCCTCGCTCACAGCGCCGTACGTACGTAGCCCAGGCGGGTCTGAAATTCACCGTGTCACCCAGGCTGTCCTTAAACTGCGACCTTCCCGCCTCTGACTCCCCGTGCTGGTGTTACAGGCATGCCCCGTCCCGGATGCTCATTTCCTTTTCATATACTGCTCCCCTGCTGCATGCGCAAGGAAATTAAAGTACCAAGAGGTAGAACGGCTAACGATCGCGGGGCACACGGGGGCCGTGACGGGAAGCTGGGGCGGCTGCCGGCGGCCGTGCTCTGGGGAAGATCTGGGGGAGACGCGGGGAGAAGGCACCCCGGAGAAGGCAGGGGGCCAGGCCCACGCAGAGACCCGGGGACACGGCAAGGAAAAGCCACACAGCAAAGTCCAGGGAAGCTGGCTGAGAGAGCGGCGTGGGTGAGGAGAGGCTGGCCTAGCTGAGGAAGGCCACGCAGGGACGCAGCCCCGCGATCAGAGCGAGAGGCTCGGCCCCCATCACTGAGGCGCGGGTGTCACTCGAAGCATCAGCAAGAAGGGGACACGTGACCCCATCTCCACCTCAAGTGCCCTGCGGCCGGGCACAGAACGACGGGAAGTCAGAAGGGGTTGAGAAGACAGGGAAGGAAGAAGGTGAAACGAGGAGGGATCCCGGGGAGCAGGGAGAGCTGAGCTCTCTGGGTGCACCCCGCCCCCCGGCCTCCACAGCCAGCGGGAACTGGACGGCGCCGGGAAGGAGCGCAGAATGCTGGCGTCTCTGCTGACTCCCAGTTCACAGTGCACGGGCCGTAAAGGTGTCAGATGGAGACAGCAATAAAGCATGGGGCAAAAATCTTGCCCTCGGCAGAATGTAACAATAAAACAGCCTCACAGAAGAAAGGTGCATCCGAGCCTGTTTGGTCCGGATTGCGAGTTCTGAAGAGCACATGGCTATTTTCCCGTGAAGGAAATATAACTGGAAAGAAAACAGCGATGGTTGGAGCTGGGACCCATGAAAGGAAATGCATGCTCTTGCCTTAGATCTGGTCCTCCATATGACACACAGCAGGACTTTGCTCCTACTGGTGGCCCGTTCAAGTTGGAGAACCACCTCCTTAACAGTTCCTCTGCAGGGCAGGGATGAAAAAGTGGCTGAGCACTCGCCTTGAGCAAAAGAGCTCAGGGACCGCCCCCAGGCCCTCAGTTCCAGCCCCAGGACCAACAAGGAGCTCAGGGACCGCCCCCAGGCCCGCAGTTCCAGCCCCAGGACCAACAAGGAGCTCAGGGACCACCCCCAGGCCCGCAGTTCCAGCCCCAGGACCAACAGCCATAATAAGACTGCCCGCCTCATAAATAGCATGTCGTGATGAGGCTGCAGGCCATGAAGTCAGAGCTCCTGTGCACTCATTTTGGGGTGTCTTTCTTGCGGGGCGGGGCCCATGTGGCCCAGGACCTGATACGCTGGTTAGCCACCCTTAAGCACAAAACAAAGACAGCCTATCACTTGATAAAGGATGCCATCTCAGAAACTGCTTTGTATGACTACCTGAAAATTCTGCTCTGATACTCATAACAGATCATCTGATATATGCCTGAAAACACCCAAATTACACCATTTTTATTCTGGGCCTTTTTTCTTCCATGATATGAATGAGGCCGTAGGATTTCTTCCCTCAAAGACGACTTTCTAAAGAGACCCCAATGGGGTTTTTTCCCATTTAACCCACAAGTCCAGCTGTTTAAAACTGAGCGCCACCTCCTTCTGTTGACCGAGTGTTTTATTATGAGCTGTGTCTTTCTCAACCAGAAAACCACTGCCACAGGAAATAGCTACACAACTTCAATTTTCCTTAGTTTGTGCCTCCCAGGAATCTATATTCCCACACCATTTAGGACTTGGCAAACTCCAGAACTGAAACAGAAACTGCCAAGGGAACATGGGTGCTGCTCTCTTTGTCTCTCTCAAGGGGCATGCTCAGTTGATCAGCTGCTTAGCGCTACGGCGAAACGTCATTTTTCAATTGTCTACAATATTGTACGGGCCTGGTACAAATGTGAACCAAATATCCATTGCTTCACAAAAGATAATGTTGGTGAATTACCTCCTTTTTCTTCATAGAATACAAGGGGTTTCGCATTTTATTCAGGTAATAGAAAATAAATGGCTTTGTATTAAGATTTTCCAAGTTCATGAGCCTTCCCAGTTCTGTCCTCTGCCTGCTCTCAGCTCCCCCTCATGGCTGTCAGGTCCCCCAGGGGGTAGAAAATCCATCCCAGAACCCAACACTAAGTCAGCAGCTTAGCAACTGAGGTACCACAAGGCACTGGAAGACCCTTAGAGAGGGGGACGAGAAGAGGCCGTGACAGGACCAACCAACGTGCCCTTCTTCCTCCAAGTACCATACTAAGGTCTCAAGTCCAGTCTGTTCTGGGCTAATGATCTATCCCCCAAACACAGGGGGATGTGGGGAGATGGGGCGGGGGCGGGGGGAGACTGAGGAGGGAGAAGGTAAGTGCCTAACGCAGCAGATAGATGAGCCTACCTTAGACCCCACGTTTGCTGGTAATTAGCATCTGGAGAGCTACCCCTCGCATGGTATTGGTGACGCCATCTTCCGCTCTGGCCCCATTCCCCCATCCCCACACCTCACACGTGGCTTCACTCTGCATTCCAAACAGCGTGAGCCCCTCTGACATTTCCACCAACCTCAGGAGACCTTGAAGCTGCCTGTGGCCACCAGCGTGCCCCACCCCAAAAAACCATCCTGCCCCACCCCAAGAAACCATCCTGCCCCAGCCTGTGTCTGCGGCCATCCCCAAAGAGTCTGAGGGGGTCTTGGGTCTCTATCTGGAGGATCTACAAGGGCCTCAGATCCTTATTTCAAGGACTTGGTCTTCCTTTTTTATTCCCAACTATATTCCCTATGGAATCACACACTGACACCCAGGGTCATGCTTGATTCCAACCTCAAACCACGAAACAGGTATGGTGCTTATTGATTACAAAGAAGTCCACAGAAACACTAAACACTGCCAGTCATTCTCAGCAAGTCGAAGGGTGAGACTTTTTGAAAACTAGGAGAAATGTGTTTAATACTACCACAGCATTCTAAGACAGCACTTAGAATTTTATAAACAGTTAACATTTCTTTGAGATACAGTATCAGAAAATACGTTCTCCATCATGCAAGGACTTATTTGCCAAAAAAGAAAAAAGACTGATCTGCTTTAAACTAGTCTGTAATAAGGGCTTAAATAAGAAAAAAAAAATTACCAAACTGGTGTTTTTGCTTGTTAAACATAAGTCATGGCCAATCTCAGAAGGATCAACGTGGAGGAGACACTTTAAAAAAAATAAGTAATTGCATTTCAAGGCTAAATGGGCCATTGTGCGGAAAAATGAACAAAGCATTCCTATTTCAGAGACTCAGCGTGCGAAGACGAAACACCTACCCCAGGCTTCCATCGGATTTCGGGGATGACATTTCATAGTCTCAGCCCCTGCATCTCTCCTGCCCAGTGTCCTGGTCCCTGAGTGCTACTCACCCAGACGTCTCCACCGTGATGGGTCTGCTCTCTGGGCCCCAGGGCTTCAGCCTGGGCCTCCACCCAGACACACTGCCTCCTCCCTGCCCTTCCCTAGCAGGCTCCACGCTGTGCCTCACAGATGCCTGTAAAACACCAGCTTAGCAAAGTCCAAGGGGCCAGGAAGACCCTTTGTCAGAGCTTTAAAGACCATTTTTCTTGAATGTCCCCCAGGTCCCCTCCAACCCACCTCACCTCTCTTTCCAATTGGCAGAGTCTTGGTTTATTTTTGGTGCCAGTTCTGGGGTTTGAACCCAGGGCCTAGACACTGTTGCTGGGCTTCCTTTGCTCAAGGCGAGTGCTCTACCACTTCAGCACAGCACCACTTCCATCTTTCTGGTGGATAACTGGAGATGAGAGTTTCACAGCCTTTCCTGCGCCCCACTTGGCTTCCAACTTCCATCCTCAGATCTCGGCCTCCTGAGTAGCTAAGGTCACATATGTGAGCCACCAGCGCCTGGCACAAATTCTTAACGTTTAAAGTGATTTTTACTTTAAAAAATATAACAATGAAGCATCCCAGCTAGGGACTATATGTTCACTGTCACCCAACACATGTGCCTAGGGGCAGATTTTTTTTGGGGGGGGGTTGTAAAGATTAAATTCTAAACAGAAATATGGATAAGAAACAGATGATTCTCAATTTTCTGGAAGAAACGTAACAGCCAGCTGCTGTGATTAAATTAAGCAGGTTTAGGAACAATGATGGGCAGTTAGACAGACTGACGGTGCCCGGCCTTCCAGGGGTGGGGGTGCTCCTGTTCTCCTGCAGGGGTGGGGGTGCTCCTGTCCTGCAGGGGTGGGGTGCTCCTGTCCTGCAGGGTTGGGGGTGCTCCTGTTCTGCAGGGGTGGGGGTGCTCCTGTTCTGCAGGGGTGGGGGTGCTCCTGTTCTGCAGGGGTGGGGGTGTCCCTGTTCTCCTGCAGGGGTGGGGGTGCTCCTGTTCTGCAGGGGTGGAGGTGCTCCTGTTCTGCAGGGGTGGGGGTGCTCCTGTTCTGCAGGGGTGGGGGTGCTCCTGTTCTGCAGGGGTGGGGGTGCTCCTGTCCTGCAGGGGTGGGGGTGCTCCTGTTCTGCAGGGGTGAGGGTGCTCCTGTTCTCCTGCAGGGGTGGGGTGCTCCTGTCCTGCAGGGGTGGAGGTGCTCCTGTTCTGCAGGGGTGGGGTGCTCCTGTTCTGCAGGGGTGGGGGTGCTCCTGTCCTGCAGGGGTGGGGGTGCTCCTGTTCTCCTGCAGGGGTGGAGGTGCTCCTGTTCTGCAGGGGTGGAGGTGCTCCTGCTCTCCTGCAGGGGTGGAGGTGCTCCTGTTCTGCAGGGGTGGGGTGCTCCTGTTCTGCAGGGGTGGGGGTGCTCCTGTTCTGCAGGGGTGGGGGTGTCCCTGTTCTCCTGCAGGGGTGGGGGTGCTCCTGTTCTGCAGGGGTGGAGGTGCTCCTGTTCTGCAGGGGTGGGGGTGCTCCTGTTCTGCAGGGGTGGGGGTGCTCCTGTTCTGCAGGGGTGGGGGTGCTCCTGTCCTGCAGGGGTGGGGGTGCTCCTGTTCTGCAGGGGTGAGGGTGCTCCTGTTCTCCTGCAGGGGTGGGGTGCTCCTGTCCTGCAGGGGTGGAGGTGCTCCTGTTCTGCAGGGGTGGGGTGCTCCTGTTCTGCAGGGGTGGGGGTGCTCCTGTCCTGCAGGGGTGGGGGTGCTCCTGTTCTCCTGCAGGGGTGGAGGTGCTCCTGTTCTGCAGGGGTGGAGGTGCTCCTGCTCTCCTGCAGGGGTGGAGGTGCTCCTGTTCTGCAGGGGTGGGGTGCTCCTGTTCTGCAGGGGTGGGGGTGCTCCTGTTCTGCAGGGGTGGGGGTGTCCCTGTTCTCCTGCAGGGGTGGGGGTGCTCCTGTTCTGCAGGGGTGGAGGTGCTCCTGTTCTGCAGGGGTGGGGGTGCTCCTGTTCTGCAGGGGTGGGGGTGCTCCTGTTCTGCAGGGGTGGGGGTGCTCCTGTCCTGCAGGGGTGGGGGTGCTCCTGTTCTGCAGGGGTGAGGGTGCTCCTGTTCTCCTGCAGGGGTGGGGTGCTCCTGTCCTGCAGGGGTGGAGGTGCTCCTGTTCTGCAGGGGTGGGGTGCTCCTGTTCTGCAGGGGTGGGGGTGCTCCTGTCCTGCAGGGGTGGGGGTGCTCCTGTTCTCCTGCAGGGGTGGAGGTGCTCCTGTTCTGCAGGGGTGGAGGTGCTCCTGCTCTCCTGCAGGGGTGGAGGTGCTCCTGTTCTGCAGGGGTGGGGTGCTCCTGTTCTGCAGGGGTGGGGGTGCTCCTGTTCTGCAGGGGTGGGGGTGCTCCTGTTCTGCAGGGGTGGGGGTGCTCCTGTCCTGCAGGGGTGGAGGTGCTCCTGTCCTGCAGGGGTGGGGGTGCACCTGTCCTGCAGGGGTGGGGTGCTCCTGTTCTGCAGGGGTGGGGGTGCTCCTGCTCTCCTGCAGGGGTGGGGTGCTCCTGTTCTGCAGGGGTGAGGTGCTCCTGTTCTGCAGGGGTGGGGTGCTCCTGTTCTTCTGCAGGGGTGGAGGTGCTCCTGTTCTCCTGCAGGGGTGGGGGTGCTCTTGCTCTCCTGCAGGGGTGGGGTGCTCCTGTTCTGCAGGGGTGGGGGTGCTCCTGCTCTCCTGCAGGGGTGGGGGTGCTCCTGTTCTGCAGGGGTGGGGGTGCTCCTATTCTACAGGGGTGGGGTGCTCCTGTTCTGCAGGGGTGGGGGTGCTCCTGCTCTCCTGCAGGGGTGGGGTGCTCCTGTTCTGCAGGGGTGGGGGTGCTCCTATTCTACAGGGGTAGGGGTGCTCTTGCTCTCCTGCAGGGGTGGGGGTGCTCTTGCTCTCCGCCGGGGGAACCTCACTAAGCACCATCAAACTCCCTTTGCAGAGCTGCTTCTTAAAATACCTGCTCACAAAGCTTCTCTCTTTTTTTTTTTTTTTTTGGTTAGAAGTCTAATTGATTTGTGTTTAGCCATTTGAACAGAATGTTCTTAATGAAGGCACTAAACAAGTTGAGCACAATTTGGCATTCGTAAATATTGCCTGGATTGGCTTCCTGAAAACAAAACAAAAAAATCTCAGGACGTTAAAAAGCCACTTTGAGTTTGATAAAATGTGTTTCCTGACCCCACACAACACATAGCTTGGGGATTTTTATTTCCTAAAGCACCCTCCTAGCGACCCAATTTCTACTACCTCCACTCGTTATCAGAGAAGGTTTAGAATGGAGAACATCGGAGTTTAATCTCTATGATAATCAAAACCGAATGACCCGGGGTTATTCACAGAGAGAGTTCTGGGTAGCACGCGCCAAACACGATGAATGAAGTTTAGGAAGAGGTTTTGCTGCCCAGATTCCAGTTGATCTTTTCTGTTGTTGTTTCAGTGACTGCCAGGGTAGATTACTTCTTTGTTTCCTTTTGAGACAGAATCTTGTTCTGCTGCCCCAGCTACACCTGTCCCGCGTGGCTGTCCTGTTCTGCGTGGCTCTCCTGTCCTGCGTGGCTGTCCTGTCCTGCGTGGCTCTCCTGTCCTGCGTGGCTCTCCTGTCCTGCGTGGCTCTCCTGCATGGCTCTCCTGTCCTGCGTGGCTGTCCTGTCCCGCGTGGCTCCAGGGCAGGGGCCTCAGGTGACTCCTTGTCATTTTGCAGCTCAGTTTTCGTCCGTTTAGTCTCAAACCTCAGGAGCCTGGGGGTGAAACATGAACATCATGGCAGCCTCATGAGAAACCCTGACTGCGCCAGGAACTCGTGTGCTGGCCCTGTGGACGCGAGCGTGGTGACTGGTCCACACCCAGGAGCAGGGCAGGGGCTGCGCCCAGCGCCCAGCCCGGCGTGGATGCTGAGCCTGCTCCCTCGGACCCGAGGGTGGCCGTGGTGGTATGGGGTGTGGTCAGCTGGCTTCACTGGCAGGCTTGGGCACCGAGACCCTGAAGGAAAATGAACCAAGCAATCCACATTAAGATCGGCTGTAGAATATTTACGCATCTTCTACACCCTTTGCTTTTCAGGCTCCTCGTGGGCAGAAGAGAGACTGGAACCGACTCCTCGACGGTGTGGACGTGTTACAAGGCCCCACCGTGCGGCGGCGCCACGCTGGCTACCTTCTCCACACACTGGTTTCCAGGCTGAGCAGCCTTGCCGTTCCCGGCGCCCTCCCGCCTGCTCCAGCCGGGGTCATCTTACTCCTTGCTTCCCAGGGCACCTGCTCCAGCCGGGGTCGTCTTACTCCTTGCTTCCCGCAGCTCCCAGGAAGGCCGCACCCCGGCTCCGGGGCTGTCCTCTTCCTCATCTACCCCTGCTGAGTCGTCCCGCTGGAACACAGCCCGGTCTCCCCGTCCCTTCCTTCCACACTTCAGACCAAACGCCGCTGCTTTCTGCACAGCTTCCCGCCTCATCAGACGCGCCCAAGACCACACGGGCGCCGGCCTCTCCTGCCTGGCGGTGGTCAATATTCTCATTTAGTCATGATTTTTGTTCCTGGCTTCGTTTCTTTTTTCCCCCTAAGTAGAAATAAGCATCCAGGGAGGTCTTTCATGTCTTTATTTGCTCCTAGGGTCTTGCAAGCAGGAAGCTGGGGCCTCACACCTAACCGGTGATCAATAAGTCTCTGTGCCATGAATAAATAATGGTGCTTTGTCCTCTTCTAAACTCTAGGGTTGCTAGACTTCACATGGAATAAAAAAAGAAAGGAAAAACCCACAGAAGTTGAAAGTCTGTCCTCTGGGTCTTGTGTAGGCGATTGGGCTCTGCATTAGCCAAGGCTGGTAGAGCCTTGAATGAGATCATTTGGCTTGGCCACCGTCCTGGACCGCAGCACGTCGCTCTGTTCTTAAAGTGGATGTTAGCCGAGAGGGTCACGGCTCTGGCTCTACACGCCGGCAGCTGGCAGCTTCCCTACGAAGCACGGCGTTACCGCAGAGCATCTGCGGCCACGGAGGGCGAGGTGCAGGCCAGGGCCACTCTGGACGCTTCCCCAGCACGGGAATACCAGCGAAGATACCGTCAAGACAGTCTACCATGCAAACCACAAAGGTTCTACGTGTGAAAACAAAGAAGACACCAACACCAAGTGGAGGGAAAGACAGCGGATGAGGACAGTGAACAGTTCCAGGGTGAAGCAGCCGCGGGACGCAGGAGGGAATGGCCGGCGCTCGGAAGCAAGCCTCGGCCCGGGGGAGGAGGCCGGCCTCAGATGCCCATCCTCCACCCACCCTCCTCAAAACGTCCTTCCTTTGTCTCCTCCACTTGCCTCGCTCTCTGAACACTGCCAGGAAACCTTATCAGAAGTTCCAGAATAGGGGTGCTGACCCCCAATATTCTATGGTATGAAAACCAGAGGACTCACTTCACCATCGCCCCCACTGCCTCGCGCCCCCCCCACCCTCGCCCCCCCCCCCCGCTTTGCTGGGCTGGTTCTTGAGTCCCTCACCCCAAGCTGATCCTCCACATGGAAAAAAGCCCAAAGTGCGCGGCGGAGTCGGGTGGCGGGCCTCTCGGGTGCTCACCCTGCTCCGACCCATCGACCCCCGCAGAGAAGTGCCATTTCCTCTTGCTTAATCTACCACCTCAAACACCGCGGCTTTGCAGCTACGAGAAAAGGCCCAGAAACACTGACAATAAACATTCTGTTATATCACAAACATAAAACCCGGTGAACAAAACAATGCCTCTTTCTCATCATTCAAATGTAAAAGATTGTAATAACATCAAATCTTTTCATGAAAAAAGACACTGTTTTCTTTAAAAAAAAAACAAACATATGAAACCACATGTTGGGGGCTGAATTTTTTTCCAGAAAAAAAATTACTTTTGATCATTAATACAGTCCACAGGGAAAAATACGCCTTCTGAGTCAGCAAATCCTCTACAGTGCTTGTCTAAACATGGGCCCAACTGTAAATGTTACAACCCATGAGGATAATTTTCACTAAAAACTAAACTCAACATCTTAAGACTTTGTTTAATAAAATTTCTCACCCCATCTAATAGATAGACTGTTGAATGGTTACGTTTCCTAGACTTACTGGTGGCTGTCCATTTTGCTCTTTGATAGGTTTATGCTGATATCAAAATGTTGTGTTTTTATGGGTATCATACATACATGTGCAGTGTTCCAATCACGCAAACATGCTTACCTCCTCAAACCACTGTCATGCATTCATGGAAAACAGTTCTCAGTCTTTTCTCTGGCTGAAACATGTAGTATACGTTACTACTCCCCATGAGTCTGCCATGTTCTAGACAGCAGACCTTATTCCTTCTGCTAACTGTGGCTTCCCATCTGCCCCCAACTTGCCCCCAACCCTTGGAACTGGGAGTTTTAAGAGAATAAAAAGATCAATTATGATGGAGAGATTCGTGGTGATCAATATACATTGCATATATAACACGGACATGTGGAATGAAATCTCCCTATAAACGAATCGATGCTACTAAAATTTTTGTGAGTCAAATTATACTCTAACACTTATAATCACAGAATACAAATGATTTGCCTTTAAAATTACTCTCCATAATGAAGCTCATTTCTTTGCTGAGTCACTAGAGAATCTAGACGGCAACAAGATTCGTTTGTTATCATAGGAGAAACATGACATTCTGTGGGAAGTAAAGCCTCTTTGTAGAACAGTATCTGTTATTCCTTAAGAAGCTGTGCCTAGGGGCTTCGGTTCAATGTGTCAGCTACGAGAGACTGAACCCTCATCGACGCCGCTCCTTTTCTCTCCCATCCCTCCCAAGCCCACCCGTACTCTGTTTTCCTAGCTCCATCTTCATGAATGTGCATCGAATGTTCTGACCACATTCACCCACCCGCCTCCCTCCAGTCATCAATTCCCCTCCAGAGCCTTTGAGGCCCTGGAGTCCACTGAAGAAGCTCTGAGCTTAGAGATCCCGAGTGGAGGCAGAAATTCACCTTTTTCTGGGGTTTCCTGGTCATTTTAACATAATCAGTCCAGTGTGGACATTAGGGTTCGTCTTTTGAAATAAACCCCAATGCCCAGTGATTACTGTGGAGGAGACAGAAGACACTGAACCAGTGTGTGACACCATAGCGTTTGTGTAGAGTAGATCCCTGCACAGGAAACACCAAGGCGGCTTTGGAGAAAAAGTGCAGACAAGACTACAAGTCATGCATTGGAGGCATTCCGTGGGGCTGGACACAAGGGTGAGAAAGGAAAATCCAAAGGAGTGCATGTGGGGAAATAAGCAGAAAGGAATAAAGGAATCGATAGGTTGAAGTAAAAGGAAAAAGTCATTGTGAGCGAGAGTTACATTCTTCCTGTTGGGTTAATGGCTGTCTGCACACCCCAGCACCAACATTTTTTTAATAAAGCCAGATATCAACAAAAAATGGACAAAACCGAGTGTGTAAGCCACAATGTGGACGTTTTACACTGGCATTACACAATAGAGATTCTCTGTGCTGCTGGAATTCTCATTGGAAGGATAAGAACACTAAAGCAAGAATCTGAGCCACTTTTTTTTCAAATACAGACATAAGACTTCTTGATTCAACAAAGGAAGCTCAGCAACCAGCACTATAAATAGGCTCTGCAGAGGAGTTCTAGCATGCATTTCACTGACGGAGAACGACTTTATAGTTACTTTGTCAAATCAGGACACTTGCTAATCAAAGAAGAGGCTAAAATAAAACCATATTCGCTTTAAAATCATTATTTATTGGCTAAAAGGCTTTATGATGGTAGAAAGTTAACAATATTTTTTTGCAGAAGATGACACGGATGGCAGTTGGCCGAGACTTGAGGGAGACAAGGATGCAAGATAATGCTCGGGTGAGTGTGTAGGACTTTGTGATTCCTTCACAATGTCCCAGGTAGACCAGAAAAACTGGAACTTGGAGTTGTTTATGAGAAAGCAGATAAGCCGCAGAGCTCAGAGCTGGGAAGACAGAGGAAATGAAGCCTGGGATGCGTGGAGAAATGGATGAAAGTGATGCAGATTTCGGGTACTGGCTGTCAGAATGCACCCCGCCCCGACTCTCAGACGGCACAGCTCTGGACTGAGCCCCCATGAGCTTTATGAGGTCCCCTGGGATGAAGCCCTGGCCCCCTTCTTTCCCCTGCTCTAGCCGATGCTTCCTGAATCATCTCCAGAGGAAGTGCCGGGCACCATCTTCTCCCGCAGCGCACACCACGCCCGAGACAGCGCCCACACGCACGCTTCCAGCAACCTTGCTGCCCACTTCCAGAAACTCACTCTGTGTGTTTCTCTTTAAGAGATTGTATTTAATACACGACTGAGTCTCTGCATGGAACGCAAGGCTAATAGCGCTGTAACCCTTTCCTCTCTCTCTATGACACCTCCAGCCCTCTGCACCCGGAAACCCTGGCCGGGACCTCATTATCAGACTCAGGGTGCAGCCAGAACCTCTGTCCCAGCGTGCCGCACAGACGGGCCAGTCCAGCGGCCGCTGAGGCCGGAAGCAGCCATGCCCTTGCCACTGCAGCTGGGACACGGGCCTAGAGGACCCTGACTCTCCTTTGTGTCTGTGGGGACACACCTAGGGGACCTGACTCTCCTCTGTATGTGTCTGTGGGGACACACTTAGGGGACCCCAACTCTTCTCTGTGTGTGCAGGTCTGTGGGTACATACCCAGGGGACCCTGACTCTCCTCTGTGTGAAGGCAGTGGGAAGGGTGTGACATCACGGGGGGGGGGGAGAAGGCGGTGGGAAGGTGTGACATCACGGGGAAGAAGGCGGTGGGAAGGTGTGACATCATGGAGGGGGGGAGAAGGCGGTGGGAAAGTGTGACATCACGGGGGAGAAGGCGGTGGGAAGGTGTGACATCACGGGGGGAAGGTGGTGGGAAGGTGTGACATCACGGGGGAGAAGGTGGTGGGAAGGTGTGACATCACGGGGGAGAAGGCGGTGGGAAGGTGTGACATCACGGGGGAGAAGGCGGTGGGAAGGTGTGACATCACGGGGGGGAGAAGGTGGTGGGAAGGTGTGACATCACGGGGGAGAAGGCGGTGGGAAGGTGTGACATCACGGGGGAGAAGGCGGTGGGAAGGTGTGACATCACAGGGGGGGAGAAGACGGTGGGAAGGTGTGACATCACGGGGGAGAAGGTGGTGGGAAGGTGTGACATCACGGGGGAGAAGGCGGTGGGAAGGTGTGACATCACGGGGGAGAAGGTGGTGGGAAGGTGTGACATCACGGGGGGGGAGAAGGTGGTGGGAAGGTGTGACATCACGGGGGGGGAGAAGGCGGTGGGAAGGTGTGACATCACGGGGGAGAAGGCGGTGGGAAGGTGTGACATCACGGGGGGAGAAGGTGGTGGGAAGGTGTGACATCACGGGGGGGGGAGAAGGCGGTGGGAAGGTGTGACATCACGGGGGGGAGAAGACGGTGGGAAGGTGTGACATCACGGGG